TTGCTTGTAATCCTAGCTACTCAGAAGGCTGACATCTGGTGATCGTAGTTCAAAGTTAGTCTAGGCAAGAAAGTTCATAGGAAAATTTAAGGACAGCACCTAGGCTCTGAGTTCAAGCCCCAGGACCAGCACACACATATAAAAAAGTCAGAAGGTCCAGTTACTGCTATGCTCTCAGATTACTTTTTGTTTACCATTAAATAGCTTCTCTATAGTGATAAGACATAAAATGTTCTCACTCTAACTTTCAGAGGAAGGGGAGGTTACTTTGTCTTTGATGAGGAAACTAAAGCCCACAGAAGGTTTAGGGACATGGGTCTAAGTAATAGCACATGTTTAAATCCAGCCCTCTGTCAGCATATGGGAACAGCTATGTTCTTTTACTTACTATCCCTTATAGAATGAGCACCAAGTTAATTTTTCTTTCCACAGGAGTCTGTATGAAGCAGCACAAGAAGCTGACCCAGGCAATCCACAAAGCCAGGGAGCACGGTGAGCATGAAATAGGAATCCCAGTTTCCCTAGCTCTAGGGAAGGTGATTTAGGCCTTGAAGATATGCTCCTACCTCTCTGAAAAAATGGCAACCTGTTCTAAGAGTCTTTTTGTTTTGTTTTTGTCCCGGTTCTGAGATTTGAACTCTTTTTTGGAGTTCTGTCTCTTTTTTTTGCTCAAGGTTTAGGGCTCTACCACTGGAGCCATAACTCAATTTCCAGCTTGGAAGTTGGTTAATAGGCAATGAGTCTCCTTTTCCTGCACAGCTGGCTTCTGTGATTTCAGTTCTCACCATTTGGAGTAGCTAGGATTCCAGATGTAAGTCACTAGTGCCTATCTTTAAGAATCTATTTCCTGGGGCTGGGAAGGTGGCTCAGTGGTAGAGTGCTTGCCTTGCATGCCTGAGGCCCTGGGTTCGATTCCTCAGCACCACATAAGCAAAATGAAAAAAGCCGGAAGTGGCGCTGTGGCTCAAGTGGTAGAATGCTAGCCTTGAGCTGAAGAGCTGAGGGACAGCGCCCAGGCCCAGACTTCAGGCCCCACAACCGGACCCCCCCCAAAAAAAAAAAACAAGAATCTATTTCCTTTCTCTTTTCCTTTCCCTTTTTTGTTGTTGCTCGTGGGGCTTGAACTCACAGCCTAGTGCTGTTCCTGAGCTCTTTTTTTTTTTTTGTCAGTCGTGGGGCTTGAACTCTGGGCCTAGGCGCTGTCCCTCAGCTCTTCAGCTCAAGGCGAGCGCTCTACCACTTGAGCTACAGCACCAGTTCTGGTTTTGTGGTGGTTTATTGGAGATAGGAGTCTCACGGTCTCTCCTGCCCGGGCTGGCTTTGAACCGCGATCCTCAGATCTCAGCCTCCTGAGTAGCTAGGATTATAGGCGTGAGCCACCAGCGCCCGGCCTGAGCTCTTTTGCTCAAGGCTATCACCATACCTCTTTGAACCATAGCTCCACTTCTGGTTTTTAAGTGGTTAATTGGAGATGAGTTTCAAGGGGACTTTTTGTGACTCACCATTCTACTGTCCCTGTTTCTTCTCTTTATTTATTTACTTTATTTTTATTGTGAAAATACTGTACAGAGGGGTTACAATTACATGGGCAAGATAATAAGTACATTTCTTTTTTTTTTTTTTTTTTTGTCGGTCATGGGGCTTGAACTCTGGGCCTGGGCGCTGTCCCTCAGCTCTTCAGCTCAAGGCGAGCGCTCTACCACTTGAGCTACAGCGCCACTTCCGGTTTTCTGGTGGTTTATTGGAGATAGGAGTCTCACAGTCTCTCCTGCCCGTGCTGGCTTTGAACCGCGATCCTCAGATCTCAGCCTCCTGAGTAGCTAGGATTACAGGCGTGAGCCACCAGCGCCCGGCAATAAGTACATTTCTTATCAAGCATTGTAGCCTCCTCTTTTGTTTCCCCTTCCTATCCCTTCCATTCCTCCCCCCTGACCCCTCAACTAGACTTTTTTTGGGTCCGGTCGTGGGGCCTGAACTGTGGGCCTGGGCGCTGTCCCTCAGCTCTTCAGCTCAAGGCTAGTGCTCTACCACTTGAGCCACAGCGCCACTTCCAGCATTTTTCTTTTTGTTTATGTGGTGCTGAGGAATCGGGGCCTCATGCATGCAAGGCAAGCACTCTACCACTGAGCCACTTTCCCAGCCCCCCTGTTTCTTCTCTTGAATCTTTTTTTTTTTTCCTCCTCATCCTTGAACTCAGGGCCTAGGCACTGTCCCTGAGCTTTTTTGCTCAACGCTAGCTAGTATTCTACCACTGAGCCACAGCTCTACTTCCAGCTTTTTTTGTTGTTGGTTGTGGGCCTGCAGCCCTGTCCCTGAACTCTTCAGCTCAAGGCTAGCACTCTACCACTTGAGCCACAGTGCCACTTCCACTTTTCTGGTGGTTAATTTGGAGATAAGCCTCATATGGACTTTACTGCCTGAACTGGCTCTGAACAGTGATCCTCAGATCTCAGCCTTCTGAGTAGCTAGGGACTGGGCACTGTCCCTGACCTCCATTTTGCTCAAGGCTAGTGCTCTACCACTTGGGCCACAGCGCCACTTCGGCTTCTTCTGTGTATGTGTTGCTGAGGAATTGAACCCAGGACTTCATGGGTGCTAGGTGAGCACTCTACCGCTGAGCCACCTTCCCAGCCCTCTAGCCCTCTTTTTTGTTTTTTATTAATATGTTAATATAGAGGTGATGAACAGAGAGGTTACCATTTCCTCCTCATTCTTCATTTCTCTCTTTTTTGTTGTTGTTGATGGTCATGACACCTGAACCTCAGGGCTTGAACCCTGAGCCCTTTTGCTAAAGACTAATGCTGTGAGCTACAGCGTTACTTCTGGTTTTCTGGTGGTTAATTGGAGATAAGTATCTAATGAACTTTCTTGCCTGAGCTGGCTTTGAACTGCGATCCTCAAATCTCAGCTTGCTGAGTAGCTAGGATTATAGGCATGAGCCACCAGCATCCAACTCATTTCTTTCTCTTTTTTTTTTTTAATTTAGTTTTTTGTTTTGTTTTGTTTTGATTTTTTGGTCTGTACAAAGAGCAGTACTCAGACCCAGTATTCCCCTAGCTTTTTTTTTGCACCTCTGGTAGGTTTTTTTCCTTTTTTTTGCCAGTCCTGGGCCTTGACCACAGGGCCTGGGCGCTGTCACTGAGCTTCTTTTGCTCAAGGCTAAGACTCTACCACTTGAGCCACAGCACCACATCCAGCTTTTTCTGTTTATGTGGTACTAAGGAATCAAACCCAGGGCTTCATGCATGCTGGCAAGCACTCTACCACTGAGTCACCTCCCTAGCCCTGTACCTCTGGTTTTTTATTTTTGTTTTTGTTTTTTTTTGGTCGGTTGTGGGGCTTGAACTCTGGGCCTGAGTGCTGTCCCTCAGCTCTTCAGCTCAAGGCGAGCGCTCTACCACTTGAGCTACAGCGCCACTTCCTGTTTTCTGGTTTCTATTGGAGATAGGAGTCTCACGGACTCTCCTGCCCGGGCTGGCTTTGAACCGAGATCCGCAGATCTCAGCCTCCTGAGTAGCTAGGATTACAGGCGTGGGCCACCAGCGCCCGGCTGTACCTCTGGTTTTTAGCTAGTTAATTCCAGAAGAGTCTCATGTATTTGTCTACTTAGCTGGCTTTAAACCATGATCCTTAGGACAGGATTACAAAGTGTGAGCCACCAGTGCTTAGCTCATTTCTCCTTTTAAATCTCTAGGTCTCCTCAGATATCACATTCCCCAGGTTGAACCCCGGGACCTTGACTTCAGTACATCTCATGGAGCTGTGAGTGCCACGCCACCAGCTCCCACCCTGGTTTCAGGAGAGCCTTGGTATCCATGGTACAACTGGAAGCAGCCACCAGAGAGAGAACTGTCACGCCTTCGCAGGCTCTATCAGGGAAATCTCAAAGAAGAAAGTGGCCCCCCACCTGAATCAATGCCTGAATTGCCTCTCAAACCACAAGCTGAAGCCTCCAAAGAGGACCCTCAGAATGTACCATAGGATTTGTGCACAGGGGAGGTCTGAAGAATTAGGAGATAGCTTCTAGTTTTTTGTTTTGTTTTGTTTTGTTTAGTCAGTCATGGGCCCTGAACTCTGGGCCTGGAGGCTGTTCCTCAGCTCTTCAGCTCAAGGCTAGCACTCTACCACTTGAGCCACAGCGCCACTTCTGGCTTTTTCTGCTTATGTGGTGCTGAGGAATCAAACCGAGGGCCTTGTGCATGCAAGTCAAGCACTCTACCACTGAGCCACCTTCCCAGCCCCCAGTTTCTAGTATTATGCTGTGAGATTTACCTGGAAAATCATGTCGTTTTTGCCAGTGACAGACGGAGAAAGAAAATAATTGTTAAAGAGAACAAATCCGTTTGAAGTTGGGGGAGGGCAGTGTAGATGTGTATGGGAACCCAGATCTCTATGTGTGCTTTCAACTGTCACTTTCAGACTTGCTTAGCATTTCCACAATAAAACTGTTTCTCTGGTCTCTGGCTTTGCTTTGGGTCTTTTCATATTGAATAGTAGCTGGGGCAGGGTTGCTCAATGATGCTAACTTTTCATATAAGAAATCCACTGCCGCAATGGGGAGGGGGAGGGGTCTAACTTAAACTAGCGCTCCTTGTGGCTCTGGATCACACCTGGCAGAGACAGGTGAACCAACCTAGCAGGATGGCTTCTGTGACCCCTCCCTCTACCCCCCCACCCCCTAGCTCTGTTCGTGTTCCCAGCTGCTCACTGGGGACCTAAAGGAGCCTTAGGATTGAAATACTAGTCCCAGGAAACAAGCGTTGCGATGGCATCACTGGAGCAGAATGCAGGGGTAGGGAGCTGCTTGGCGAAGGTACAGCTTGTTTGGAGACACGGCGATCCCTGCCCAGCTGGGCTTGGGGGCGGGGGGCGGAGGGCGGCCCGCCCGGGGGCGGTCCCAGAGCCCCCCCCCACGCGCCTGGAAATAAAGGCGCGTGGGGCGGGGCCTCAGGGCGGAAGTGACATCTCGTGCGGGCGGGTCCGGTCTCGCACAATGGGCCATGGAGTTCCCGTTTGATGTGGACGCGCTGCTCCCGGAGCGGATCACGGTGCTGGACCAGCACCTGCGGCCCCCGGCCCGCCGACCCGGAACCACAACGCCGGCCCGGTGACACCTCAAGCCCGCCCCATGGCCCTTCCCTCCCGGTTTCCCTCTTGAGCCGGGTCCAGGCACCACGCCCCCTTCTCACAGATTACTAGCCTTTCCTTTTGAGGTCCCGGCTCCGCCCTTTTGATGACTTTTGACCTTAAACCTAATGGACTAGATCCGTTCTTAGATCTGCGACCTTTTTTACCCTTTGTGTCCAATCTGGTCGTTAACAGTCTGTGATTGACCTCACTGCTTCATAGTAATCTTAACTAGGGAGGAGGGAGGGGACCATCTTGAAAGCTCTAGCAAATGTTTGGGTTCCAGAGGGTGGGATTGCATTTGGAAGACTCTCAAGCTAAGGCAGAAGGGCCTTAAACGTTGAACCTGTGTTGAAGCTGTAGCCCAGTCCCAGGAATGATTGACCAGGGACCACTAATTCAGTGAATGTCTGACTCTTTGTCTCTACAGTGTTGATCTGCAGCAGCAAATAATGACCATCGTAGATGAATTGGGCAAAGCCTCTGCTAAGGTATTGGGGCATAAAGTAAAGGAGGATTTGGGGGGATGGGCACATAAGGGAGGCCTAGGTCCATTGGTACCTAAGAACTTGCAAAAAATCTCCCTTCTGGGCTGGGAATGTGCTAGCCTAGCGTGCATGAAGTCCTGGGTTTGATTTCTCAGTACCGCATAAACAGAGTGCTAGCCTTGAACAAAAGAAGCTTAGGGGGCTGGGAAGGTGGCTCAGTGGTAGAGTGCTTGCCTTGCATGCATGAGGCCCTGGGTTTGATTCCTCAGCACCACATAAGCAGAAAAAGCCGGAAGTGGCACTGTGGTTCAAGTGGTAGAGCACTAGCCTTGAGCTGAAGAGCTGAGGGACAGCGCCCAGGCTCAGAGTTCAAGCCCCACAACCAGCAAAAAGAAGCTTAGGGACAGTGCTCATGCCCTGAGTTCAAGCCAGGACTGGAAAAATTAAAAAAATCTCCCTGACAGGCCCAGCATCTTCCTGCTCCTATCACCAGTGCATCAAGAATGCAAAGTAACCGCCATGTTATTTATGTGCTCAAAGACACTTCAGCCAGACCGTGAGTGCATAATGCTTTTCCATACCCTCATTCCTTCCTCCCACAGCCCTTCTCCCTTCTTTGACTTTTTTGTCTTTTCTAGACAGCTGCCACTAGCTTGTTCATTATTTTCTCCATCCTACAGGGCTGGGAAGGGAGCCATTATTGGTTTCCTTAAAGTTGGATACAAGAAACTCTTTGTACTGGTGAGTGTTACTGGAGGCTGGGAGTCTATATTGGATTGAGAGAATAAAAATATTAAAGATTGGAAGGCAGCAAAGATGCCTGGATGCTAAAAGATATTTATTGTTCTTTGTGTTTTAGGATGATCGTGAGGCTCACAATGAGGTAGAACCACTTTGTATCCTGGATTTTTACATCCATGAGTCTCTGCAGCGTCATGGCCATGGGCAAGAGCTCTTTCAATATATGTTACAGGTATCATTATCTCTTCACTAGTTCATCTAAGAAGAGAAAAAGCTCTTTTGTCCCTTGTCCTTCCAAGGGCCTTGCTATTCTCCCTTCCCCCAATTTTCCCATTTCCTCCTATTCCCTCCTCAATTCCTGAATTCCTGTTGGCATGCTCTTCTGATACTTCTTCCTACCCTGAATCTCTTATTCTCTGCAGAAGGAGCGAGTGGAACCACACCAACTGGCCATTGACCGACCCTCGCAGAAGCTGCTGAAGTTCCTGAATAAGCACTACAACCTGGAGACTACTGTCCCACAGGTTAGAGGCTCAAAGGATAGAACCTCACTGGACATTTTCATTGAATTCATTTACTTGGGGCAACAAAGTGATGCTTTCCACGAGTTCTTTATTCCCTTCACGTAGAATTTATTTTATACAACTCTTTTTCTTCTGGTACTATTGTGCATCCCACAGCTATTTCACCCTCATATGTTTTGGTTCTTTATCATGGGTTGTTTTGCATACCTCATTTTCATGTCCAGCACACATAGCTCATTTCTACCACCTTGTTTTTATACAAGCCATTACTTAATAAGTCAATATTTATTGAAGGGCTACAATAATATACATTCCTTATCCTCAGGAAACTTTGGTCCATCACGGGAAAGGTGATCTTGTTTGTAAGTAGCTGCAGTAATGTATTACTGATGCTGTCCATTCATTCAGCAAATATTTTTAGTGTCTGTTGTGGGCACGAAGAATACTTCAGTCAGTTAAATAGACAAATATGTCTGCTTTTGTGGAGCTCATATTCTGTTTGGAGAGACACATATAGACAAGAAAAGTATAATATGGTTAATGAGAAGTGCTCTGGAAAAATGAGAACAAGTAAGCAGATTAGGAGTGCCAATGTGGGTAATCCAATGTGGGTGTATATGAATGCAGGTTAATATATTATTAGAAAGTTCTCACTGAACATATCATTTGGGCAGTATCTTAGAGTGTCTGGGATGGACAGCATCCCTAGATAGAAAGAATGGCTAGGGCAAAATCCACAGTGTGGGAATGTGTCTAGAAAAGTGATATGAATCAGGATGAATGTAGTAGATGAGCTGTAGGAGATAATGGGGAGAAAGATCAATCTTGTTTTTGTTGCATTTATTTATTTGTGGTACTGGGGTTTGAACCCAGAACCTCACACTGGCTTTGCTTACTTGTGCTGCTGATGTACTTTACTCTAGCTCTACCACTTGAGCCATACTTCTAGGTCTGCTTTTTGCTTTTTTTGTGCTAGTACTGGGGCTTGAACTCAGGGCCAGGATGCTGTCCCTTAGTTTTTTCCCTCAAGGTTAGTAATCTACCACTTCAGCCATAGATACCCTTCTGGCTTCTTGGAGGCTAAATTGGAGATAATAAATAGTCTCAATGACTTTCCTGCCCAGGCTAACTTTGAATGGTGATGCTCAGATCTAAGCTTCCTGAGTAGCCAGGATTACAGGTGTGAACCACTAGTGCCTAACTTGCCTGGCTTTTTACGAATTACTTTTGGTGATAGAGGTTCCCAGTCTTTTCTGAACATGCTGGTTTCAAACAATGATCTTTTGGATCTTACCCTCCTAAGTATAGGAGTATGGATATGAGCTACCAGCACCTGGAAATTTTTAAATATTTTGAAGGTAAATCAAATGAGAATTCCTGAGAAAAAGTGAGGAGTTAAAGTTGACTCCAAAGCCTCAACAGTTGGAAGGATGAAGATGCACTAAGTAAGACAGTAGTTAGGTTAGCTTTGGGGATAAATATTGAGATAATGGATTTTTGTTTGTTTTGTTTGTCAGCTTGGGTCCTGGGAGCTGTCCCCCAGCTCTTTTTGCTCAAGGCTAGCACTCTACCATTGAGCCTTAGTGCTACTTCCTGTTTTCTGGTGCTTAACTGGAGATAAGAGTCTCCCATGCTGGGGCTGGGATGGTGGCTTAGTGGTAGAATACTTGTCTACATGCATAAAGCCCTGGGTTTGATTCCTCAGTACCACATACACAGAAAAGGCCAGAAGTGGCACTGTGGTAGAGTGTTAGCCTTGAGCAAAAGAAGCTCAAGGCTAGTGCCCAGGCCCTGAGTTTAAGCCCCAGGACTGGAAAAAACAAAAAAAAAGTTTCCCATGAGACTTTTTCCTGCCTGGGCTGGTTTTGAACTGCATTCCTCAGATCTCAACCACCTGAGTGGCTAGTATTAACAGGCATGAGACACTGGCACCTGGCTTTTTTTGTATTATTATTTAAAATTTTTAATAGTATAATAGTAATTGTACAATGTGAGGGGTTTCATTGTGACATTTCCATACAGGCATATGATGTACTTTGATTATTCCCCTGCTCAATTATTCTTATCCCTTTCCCTTGATTCTTCCCTCCTCCTCTCCCCCCCCCCCATTTAACGTGGCAAAATTTTTATTTTATTTACTTTTTAATTTTTTTTTATTTTATTGTATTTAAGTAGGTGTACAAAGAGTTTTTAATTCAACATGTCAGTGTAAGAATACAATGCATGGCTGGGAATGTAGCTTAATGGTAGATTGCTTGCTTGGCATGCATGAAGCCCTGAGTTCGATTCCTTAGTACCACATAACAGAAAAAGCCAGAGGTGGTGCTGTGGCTCAAGTGGTAAAGTGCTAGTCTTGAACAAAAGAAGCTCAGGGACAGCACCCAGGCCCTGAGTTCAAGCCCCAGGACTGTCAAAAAAAGGAATACAATGCATCTTGATTAATGTCACATTTTCATCATTCTCCCCTATCTGGCCCAACCCCACCTATGTCCTCTAGTTACCTGGTTCTGTTTTTAAGTATGTACTACAGATATTATAACTGTATTCACCCACCTTTCTTCTTTCCATCTTTCCCCACCCCTTCTCCATCTCCCCCTCTGACAAAACATGGGTCAGTCTCCTCATATTCATTTTGGTAAAGTATGCTAGTTGTTCAAAGGAATTAATTATACCATTGAAATCCTTCCCTGCATATGCCATACTTTGTTTATATATGCATACGGCCCTGTAGATGTTTTCGTATATGTCTGTGATTTAGATCTGACTTCCTTGGGAAAGAACATGTGCCCTCAGAATTTATATTATTTATTTGCTCTGTGTGTGTGTGTGTGTGTTTGGTGTGTTGCTAGAGAGTGAATCAAATGCTAGACAAGCACTCTGCCATGGAGCTGCACACTCAGCCAAGGAGTCTGTTGGAGAAGACTGTGATAGATAGGTCTAGTTGAGTAGACAATGGGGTATTTCCCCTGGAGATCCCCTGGGGAATAGATTTGAAGTGGAAAGTTTTCAGCATGTACATGGTATTTAAAGCAATCAGATAGGATATTGCCAAAGAAAAAGTATTTGCTTGTGCCCTTGAGCACTCTTAAGAAGTTAGGGAAGAACACTAGATTTGAACTGGCACAGATTGTTCACCCCTATAATCCTAGCTACTCTAGAGGCTGAGATCTGAGGATTGAGGTTTGAAGCCAGCCAGAGTTTAGGAAAGTCCATGAGACTCTTATCTCCAATTAACCAGAAAACTAGAAACAGTGCTGTAGCTCAAAGTGGTAGCACTAGCTCTGGGATAGCATTCAGGGGCAGAGGATCAAGAGTTTGAGGCCCGGCTTGGCTACATAGTGAGGCCCTGTCTCAAAACTATCTCCTTCAAAACAACTAGACCATGGGTTGGGGGTGGGGGGAAAGACCAGAAAGAAGGCCTAGTAAACACAACCAAGGACAGACTTCTGAAGTAAATGGAAGTTTAAAAGTTAGTGACATAGAAGGTTAAAGAAAGTGTTTCCAGGGGGAACAAATGGTTTGCTGAGCCAAATGTTGCTGATCAAGTGAGTTAAGAGCTAAGAACGCCAGGTTCTGGTAGCTCACGCCTGTCATCCTAGCTGCTCAGGAAGCTGAGATCTGAGATTGTGTTTTGAAGCCAGCCTAGGCAGAAAAGTCTCAGCGAGACTCTTTTTTTTTTTCTTCTTTTCTTTTCTTTCTTTTTTTTTTTTTTTTTTGGTCGGTTGTGGGGCTTGAACTCGGGGCCTGGGCGCTGTCCCTCAACTCTTCAGCTCAAGGCTAGCGCTCTACCACTTGAGCAACAGTGCCACTTCCGGGTTTCTGAGTGGTTTATTGGACATAAGAGTCTCATGGACTTTTCCTGACCAAGATATCTTTGAAGAGTGATCCTCAGATCTCAGCCTCCTGAGTAGTTAGGATTACAGGCATGAGCCACCAGCACTCGGCCCAGTGAGACTCTTATCGCCAATTAACCACCAAAAACTGGAAGTGGCACTGTGGCTCAAGTGGTAAAGTGCTAGCCATGAGCACAGAGAACTCAGGAACAGAGCCCAGGCCCTGGGTTCAAGCCAAAGAACCAGCCAAAAAAAAAAGGAGTCTTAGAGTTATTGGAAAGGGCCAGTATGATGGTGTACACCCATAATCTAGCCATTTGGGAGATGGAGGTAAGAGGATTGGGAGTTCAAGGGCTGTCCAGGCAAAGATAGCAAGATCCGGCTGGGAAGGTGGCTCAGTGGTAGAATGCTTGCTTTGCATGCATGAGGCCCTAGGTCCTCAGCACCACATAAGCAGAAAAAGCCGGAAGTGGTGCTGTGGCTCAAGTGTTAGCCTTGAGCTGAAGAGCTGAGGGACAGAGCCCAGGCCCAGAGTTCAAGCCCCGTAACCAAAAAAAAAAAAAAAAGATCCTGTCTCAAAAACAAAATAAAGCTGAGTGCTGGGCCCAACCTACAATCCTAACTACACAGGATGCTGAGATCTGAGTATCACCATTTGGCACCAGCCAGGGCACAGAAAATCAAGAGATTTCTCTCCAGTTAACCAGAAAAGGCTTGATGTGGAGACTTGCTGCAAGTGGCAGAGTGTCAACTTTGAGGGAGAAAAGCCAAGTGAGAAAAAGGGCCCTGAATTCAAGCTCTAGTACTGTCACAATGAGGCAGTATATATATCTAAGTAAATCTAAATAGATGAGCTATCTGTAAACAAATCCAAATACATGTATACATACATACTAAATCTGAGTAGATGAGCCATCTGTAATCCTAGTGTGTTCTATATTTTTAAAACTAAACTAAATAAAAACAAAGATAAGCAGGCACAAGCTAGCAAAAAGAGCTCAGGGACAGCACTCAGGCCTCAAGTTCAACATTAAAAAAAAAAGATGGGCTGGGAATAGGCTGGTAGAGTGCTTGCCTAGCATACATGAAGCCCTGGGTTCGATTCCTCAGTACCACATAAACAGAAAAAGCAGGGAGTAGTCCTGTGGCTCAACTGATAAGAGTGCCTTGGGCAAAAGAAGCTCAGGGACAGTGCCCAGGCCCTGAGTTCAAGCCCCAGGACTGGCACACAAACACAAAAAAGATGGTTAAGGGCATGGCTCAAGTTGTAGAGCACTTGCCTAAGTAGGCCTTGAGTTCAAACTCTAGTACCCCCAAAACAAAGGTGAATTCTTGTTAGGTGGTCAAAGTATGCAGATTAAGGTGTTTTCCACATAGAAAAACCAACAGAAGAAGCTGGGTGCTGGTGGCTCACATCTGTAATCCTAGCTACTCTACCATGAGATATGAGGATCACAGTTCAAAGCTATCCCTGGCCGGAATTAAACCACCTTTCCAAGGCACTCCTAGCTATTCTGGTGACCTGAGTGGTAGGCCAAGATGAGGGTAGACTGGTAGACATGACAGCAAAGTCTAGGCAGGGTATACTGAGAAAGTCCTTCCACAGTGCATTTCTCCATTAGGAGGCAGCAGAGAGCAGGAGAGCAGTATTTGTCACCTATCACGTAGCCACCTTGCAGGAAAGCCAGAGCAGTGAAGATTGTGGATAGTAGATAGCTTTCTGTGAGCTCTGAGTAGCATCTTCCTGCATCATTTTAGTCGATTCTTACACATCTCTTTGAAGTAGGTGTTATTATTAACCTTGCTTTGGGTTTATACATTTGGGAACTTGACCAAATTCACACAGCTAATAAGTGGTAGATTTGATCTACTTTTTTTTTTTTTTTAAGGAGGAAGAGAAGGAAAGGCAGTCCTGGGGCTTGAACTAAGCACTTGGATGCTGTCTCTGAGCTTTTGTGCTCAAGGATAGTGCTCTACCAGTTTGAGCCACAGCTTTATTTTGGATTTTTGGTAGTTAATTGGAGATAAAGAATCTCAGGGGCTTTCCTGCCAGAGCTGTCTTTGAACTGTGTTCCTTAGCTCTTAACCTCCTGAGTAGCCATCAGTACCCATCTACTGACTTTTTGAGACACAGTCTCACTATGTTGTGCAAGCTACCCCTGACCTCCTAGGCTCAATGGATCATCTTACCTTAGCCTCTAGAGCAGCTGGGACTGCAGATGCACAGTGCTAGGGATTGAACCTATGTCCTACTTCATGGAAGGCAAGTGTTCTACCATTCAGCCTACACTCTTTTTTTTTTTTTTTTTTGGCTAGTCCTGGGACTTGAACTCAGGGCCTAGGCACTATCCCCGAGCTTCTTTTACTCACATCTAGCACTCTACCAACTTGAGCCACAGTGCAACTTCCGGCTTTTTGTTTATGTGGTATTAAGGAATTGAACCCAGGGCTTCATGCATGCTAAGCAAGTACTCTACCGATAAGTCACATTCCCAGCTCACTCTTTAATTTCTACACTGTATTCTTAGCTGAAACTTTACAACTTAAAGCAAAAGTCTAGTGGTTGATGCCCAACTCTACCCATCATAGCTACTTGGTTTTGGGTTAGCCATGTCTTCAAGAGTTTCTGCTTTAATTTTTTTTCTTTCTTTTCTTTTTTTTTGCACTGGTCTCAGGTCTTTGGGCTGTCCTAAAGCCTTTTTACTTAAGGCTGGCAGTCTACCACTTGAGCCATATAGCTGTTTTTGGCCTTTTTGCTTATTAATTGGAGATGAGTATCACAGACTTTCCTGCTTGGGCTGGCTTTTATTCCTGATCCTCAGATCTGAGTCTCCTGAGTAGCTAGGATGAAGGTATGAACCACTGACGCCCAGTCCCTTGCTTTTCTTAATTTTGTAGGCTATACATTGAATTCTTGACTGCATTCTCTGTAAAAGTTCTTTACGTGTTCTAGATATAACACCCTTCTATATTCTAGATATGACACACTTACAAATTTCCCCCCACTCTATGGGTTGCCTTTTCACTTCCTTTTTTTCCCCCTTGTCTCTTTTTAGACAGGGTCTTGCTGTGTGGTACAGGCTAACCTTGAACTCAGTATCCTTCTGCCTCAACCAACCAAGTACTGGGATTACATGGAAGAGCCACCATGCCTCACTTTTCTTTTCACTTTGTTGACATTATGGGAGCTTTTTTTTTTTTTTTTTGCCAGTCCTGGAGCTTAGACTCAGGGCCTGGGCACTGTCCTTGAGCATCTCTGTGCTCAAGGCTAGCACCCTACCACTTGAGCCACAGTGCCACTTCTGAATTTTTCTGTGTATATGGTACTGAGGAATTGAACCCAGGGCTTCATGCATGCTAGGCAGGCACTCTACTGCTAAGCCACATTCCCAGGCCCTCCCCCCCCTTTTTTTTTCCGGTCATGGGGCCTGAACTTGGCCTGGTTGCTGTCCCTAAGCTCTTCAGCTCAAGGCTAGCGCTCTACCACTTGAGCCACAGCACCACTTCTGGCTTTTTCTGCTTATGTGGTGCTGAGGAATCAAACCCAGGGCCTCATGCATGCGAGGCAAGCACTCTACCACTGAGCCACCTTCTCAACTGTATCCTAACCCCTTTTGATAGTATGTTTGAGGCATACAAATTTTATTTATTTACTTGATTTTCAGCACTGATGTTGAGCTTGGGTACTTTTACACTTGCTCTGATCTACTCATACTTAACTACTCTCTGGTATTCTGCTTTATATTCAAGGGGGCCTTACCCCTTCGTAGATAGGCAGTCTATTACTTGATTTATCATGCCTCCAGCCTATTTTATCCTTTTAATAAACTGTTTGGGGCCAGGTACGGGTGTCTTATGCCTATGATCCTAGTTATACAGGAGGCTAAGACCTGAGGATCAAGGTTTCAAGCAGACAGATCCTTGAGACTCCAATTAACCAGTAAGTGTGGGTCAACTGGGAGAGTGCCAGCTTTGAGCTAAAAGCCAAGTGAGAGCAAAAGTCCCTGAGTTCAAGCCCCAGTACTAGTGCACACACAAACATGCACGCACTCACCCTATACACAATTTGCTTAAGTACTATTTGAGGTTTTTGGGTTTTTTTTGCTGGACATGAAATTTAGGTTCTGTTTGCTGGGGTCTGGGATTCTGACTGATCTGTTACTAAGGACAATAACTGGCTTTTGTTCCTTGTTTTTCTGGAACAAGTTCTGAAACAAAGTAAGTGCTGAGTGGTTGAATGGGCAATTATATTTATTTGCTTCATCTTCTAGGTGAACAACTTTGTGATCTTTGAAGGGTTCTTTGCCCATCAACACCGTAAGTCTTCTCACCTTTCATTGGTTCCATAATTGGGAAGAGGGGAAGGAAAAAAGTGGGTTCTTGGTACCACTGGCCCCCACTGAGGGCCACCGCCGCTTCCTTCCTCACAGGGCCCCCTGCTCCCTCTCTGAGGGCAACTCGACACTCTCGTGCTGCTGCGCTCGACCCCACACCTGCTGGTAAAGCCTGCATTGAATGGGTAGAACTGTAGTACAGTGATGGCAGATTTCGCTAGAGGCTCCAGCAGTACTATTTGTGGGCAATTTCAGAAAAGCTCAGAGCAACCGAGGTTGCCAGCAGTCATCCTGGTTTGGCTTTGCCCTCATAGGAACACTGTGTATTTTATCCTGGTCAAGAACCTAGGGGCCTCTCACATGCTAAAGAATGAGCTGCACCAATAGATCACACCCTCAGCTCCATATAAGGAGGCCAGGTTTTTAATGAAGCAAGCTCTTCAGAACCTGTTTAAGGCTTGATGGAAATGGAATCCCTTGCTTTGGTCCTCAAAGTAGGCCACAGTCGCTTTCCTTTGTAAATGGCTCAGGTTTCTCTCAGCCAGGCAGGGACTGGCCAATCAAACAGTCCTTCCATTTCCAGACTTGGCATAGGGACATGAATGGTCCACAGTTGAAATATTAGTTTGAGAAGATAACACTCAATATTTGTAACTTTTTTTGTGTGTGACAGTATTTAGGCTTGAATTTAAGGGCTTTCACTTGGCTCTTTTGCTTAAGGCTGGCACTGTACCACTTGGGCCATATCTCCACTTCTGGCTTTTTCTGGTTGGTCGGAGATAAGACTGTCATAGATTTTTCTGCCTAGGTTGGCTTTGAACAATGATTTTCAGATCTCAGCTTCCTGAGTAGGATTACAAGCATGAGCCACCAGTGTTTGCCTTATAACATTTTAAACTATGTAATGAAAATTGACCTGGAGAAATCAAAACTGCAGCACTGTATAGGTTCTCCATCCCATTTCCACACTCACATGTCCATCTACCAGCCTGAGCTGCCCTCCTCTTCCCCTCAATACAGCCTCCAGGAGAGTGGTGCAGCCTTCACTGGCTGTGCAATGCTTGCTGGCAGAGTAGAGGCCCTGCCTGGGCTGGCCTTGCAGCCGGCCCTCACCTTCCTCTGTCCCCAAGGAAGGGAGTAATATTTAACCTAGAGAGAGAACAGTGCGTGGCCTGTGGTTAGCATCTACCGGTATCAGACACTGAAAGGCTCTTTATATCCCTGCCCCAGCTGGTTTCCAGAGTGACACCTGTGTGCTCCTGCGCAGGCAGGGAGGACAGTGAGGCTGCGGGGATGCGGGGAGCGCACTGGTGAAGGCTTCAGCCAATCAGCCCACAGGGCTGTTCCATCTCACGTGGTAGAGAACCTAAGAGGAAGCGGGAGGCTGAGCCTTGGCCAGCACATCAGTCAGCTCCCACATACAGAGAGCAACTTTGCAGATGCCTCTAATTTTCCCTCACCCTTCTTTTTTTCTTAGCTTGATAAAATTTTAGTCTCTCCACATCTTTTTTTGCCCAGGAAGGAGAGGTTTTCCCTGCCCCACCCCCCTCTGACCTCTCCAGAGCATTTCCCAATTAACCAAGGACTTTGTCCATCTCATCTAGAGGAATTCAGGGTCCTCGCTGGCCTAGCTGGGACCATTCCACTGCCCCAGAACCCCAGGGGGGCCTGACAGCACCCACGGACAGTAAGAGCTCACCTCCCCTCGGCCGCCTTTCCCCGCATTTCCCAGGCCCCCAGTCTCCCCTTGGGTTTTTCTCCTGTAACTGTGTTTGGCCTACTCCTTCTGGCTCTCCCCAAAAGTGCTCCAGCATTCCCCTCCCCCAATTCCTTTGGTGTGCTGGCTTTGCCACAGCACGGCTTCTGTGATGGCATTCCCAGAAGGAACTGTGGTGTCAGGGAGCAGAGGTTTGGGGTTGTGTGGGGCGTGGTGGGGAGGAGGGGTGCAAAGAATATTTTCTAATGCTTCCCTTTGTCTGCTCCCCACTCCCCCCAGCTCCAGCAAGGAAGCTGCCACCCAAGAGGGCAGAAGGAGAGATTAAGCCATACTCCTCCAGTGACCGAGAATGTAAGAGGGGCTGGGGTAGGGTAAACAGGCTTGGGATCTTTTTTTTTTTTCTCTTCCCAGTCCTGCAGCTTGAACTAAGGTCCCGACACTGTCCCTGAACTTCTTTTGCTCAAGGTTAGCACTCTACCACTTGAGCTACAATTCCACTTCTGGCCTATTCTGTTTATGTGGTACTGAGGAATCGAACCCAGGACTTCATGCATGCTAGACAAGCACTCTACCACTGAACCACATTCCCAGCCCAGGCTTGGGATCTTTTTTTTTTCCCCCAGTCCGGGGGCTTGAACTCAGTCCTGGGCACTGTCCCTGAGCTGCTTTTGCTTAAGGCTAGCACTCTTAACACTTCAGCCACAGTGCCATTTTTTTCTGGCTTTTTCTGTGTATGTGGTACTGAGGAATGGAACTCAAGGCTTCATGCATGCTAGGCAAGCACTCTACCACTAAGCACATTCCCAGCCCAGGCTTGGGATCTTAACACTGTGAAAGAGGGTGCTTAGAGAAGGATGATGCCTTTTTTGTTTGTTTTTGCTTTTTTTGGTCGTGGGGCCTGAACTCTGGGCCTGGGCGCTGTCCCTCAGCTCTTCAGCTGTAGACTAGTGCTCTACCACTTGAGCCTCAGCCCCACTTCCGGCTTTTTCTGCTTATGTGGTGCTGAGGAATCGAACCCTAGGGCCTCATGCATGCAAAGCAAGCACTCTACCACTGAGCCACCTTCCCAGCCCAGGATGATGCCTTTTAAAAGAACCTATTTGTGAGCTGGGAAGGTGGTTCAGTGGTAGAGTGCTTGCCTCACATGCATGAGGCCCTGGGTTCAATTCCTCAGCACCACATAAGCAGAAAAAGCTGGAAGTGGTGTGGTGGCTCAAGTAGTAGAGTGCTAGCCTTGAACTGAAGAGCTGAGGGACAGGGCCCAAGTCGAATTCACGCCTCAAAACCGAAAAAAAAAAACTGATTTGTTTTCTTCCTAATCCTTACCGTCATGACTTTTCTTTGTTCTTTTTCTTTTGTCCTGCCTTTTATTCCTCTCCTCAGTTCTGAAGGTAGCTGTGGAGCCCCCTTGGCCCCTAAACAGGGCCCCTCGCCGTGCCACACCTCCAACGCACCCACCCCCACGTTCCAGCAGCCTGGGGAACTCACCAGATCGGGGTCCCCTCCGCCCCTTTGTGCCAGAGCAAGAGCTGCTGCGTTCTCTGCGCCTCTGTCCTCCCCACCCTACTGCCCGCCTGCTGCTGGCCACCGACCCTGGGGGCAGCCCAGCTCAGCGTCGCCGCACCAGGTAACAGGAGTTGGAGGGTTCAGTTGGCCAGCCTCAAGCCTGTCAGAGGAGGTTCATTGAAATCTATCAGAAATGTGAAGTATGAAGCAATGATTGGTGGATGGGAAGAGTTTTACAATCTTTTCAAGAAAAATACATTTACATAGATTTGTGGAATTGCTCTGGGGAAAAGAACAAAGGAGATATTGGTGTTGGTGAGAGGGTTGTATGGCGGAATGGGAAGACTTGAGTTCCACTGGGTGCCCCCGCCCCCAGCCTTCAAGGACAAGGGATGTGGGTTTAGCACTTGTGGGGATGGGGACTGTGTCGCACAGATTGGGAGTCCTTGGGTTCCAAGGCCAATGCCTTGTGCCAAGAGCCCTTCCCAGCAAGCAAGAGGTGGGCTTCTTCTTTATTTCTCTGTACTTCTTCAACTCTGACTTCTCTGTTTTTCTCTCTCCCCCATCTTCCCTCTCCCTTCCTCCTGTCCATAACATCCTTCCATAGCTCCCTTCCCCGTTCTGATGAGAGCCGATACTGACCCTCCTCCCCCCTTTTTCCCTCTGTGTCCATGGGAGACCTGGGGTTGGGCAGAGTCCCTTCTCCCTGAGAACCTGACCCACTCTTCTACTGCATCCTTCAGGACCCAGTGGAACCTGACAGAACCCGTCAGAGTCCTTTCCCTTCCTTGGACAACTGGGTTGTCAGGGTCCCAAATAGCCTAATACTTTGTAGCTTTTCTTATCATAGAAGGAACGAACCCTTGTTCTCTCAACCTGGGCTCTGAACACTCCCCCACAGCCCAATCTGTTGCCAGACCCCTACGCCCCGCCTCGGTGGCTCCTACTTAGTTTCTAGAGAAGCACACTTGCTTGCCAGCAGACTCCAGACCACTATGGAAGGTCTAAGCGCCTTCTTTTTCCAGGGAAACCTTTTAAGGAGTTCTGTCCATGTAATAATCCCAATTTCCTCTACAGTGGCCACTGGTGGCTCTAATACTGCTTTATGCCACCTACTGTACTTATTACTCTCTCAGCCTGCTGGTGCCAGCCAATGAGCGAGCTCTTCTTCAGAGCCGCCCAGTCAGGTAGGACAAATAGGACAAGTGGGACTCCCCAAAGGAGTCCACTCAACATTGCCAAACTCCTCATTTCCACGTATTGTGTGTATATGCCAGGGAACCACTAAGCTGATGTTGCTTTGAGGTCTCTAAAGGAGACACCACTGCTTCCCCCAGATCCAGATTCTCTGAAGGACTTTGTTTTTGACAGGAGATCCCAGCAAAAACTCTGGGGTTACTTTTGCCTGGTGGTGGTCGTGAGGCTTGAACTCTGGGCCTGAGCGCTGTCCCTGAGCTCTTCTGCTCAAGGTGAGTGCTCTACCGTTTGAGCCACAGCACAACTTCCAGTTTTCTGGTGGTTAATTGGAGATAAGAGTCTCACGGACTTTCCTGCCCAGGCTGGCAGCCTCCTGAGTAGCTAGGATTACAGGTGTGAGTCACCAGCACTTGGCTCCTTGGGGTTACTTTTAGTTGTGTTTCTGTAGATAGGCCTGGGTCTCAAGGATCTGTTAAATCCTGAAATCCCCTTCATGCCCACCCCTCCCTGGTAGATATACTAATACATTCCTGTGTTGTGAGATTGTCTTGAGATGAGACAGGGGCCACTCTTCACTGGCCTTCCTCTCTTCTTTCCTTCATAGCCAGACTTCCTTCCCTGCTCCATGCCCTGCATATAGACAGATCCTTCCTTCCCCACCCTTGAATGTATGGTAGACCAGGTACCCCAATGTGCCCCTTTAATCCTTGGGAGCAGGATCTCCCTCTCCCTACTCTTCCCTTTTCTTCTCCCTTTTCTGTGTGTTGTCTGAATAAAGTGTGAATTCTTTCATGTTTTCTAAATTGACATTTTCAACGAGGAAAAAAAAAAAAGTACCATAAAGGAAAAGAAAAAAGAATTTAAGGTGTCAGCCTCATTTGTGCCCCACTCCTTGTTTTCCTGGGGTCTCAAGACCTCTGTCCTTCTCATTATGTTTCTTTCTGACCTCTTCAGATCTTCCTCCGTGAAGCCTCAGCACTCCTCTTCCAGGATCTGCTGTCTGCCTCACTCTATTGTCACTCGCTGGTTGTCTCTTGCAGGTTGGGTCTCCTCTCAAGAGAGCGATCAGATAACTCTAGGTAGGCTTCTGTATCCACTCCTCCAGTTATCCCAGTAGCTTCTCCTTTATCCTGGCCAGTCTTTATCCTGAGATGTCAAGAGTTACCAGTATCTTGGGATCCACTAATGTTCTCCGGATTCCTCTTCCTACTCTTTGACTCTCTGATGTCTTGGCTGTCTCTCTCAAGCCAAACCCTTATTTCCACTGATAGTCCATTTGTCATTCTGCAAAAGCTCCTTTTCCTCCTATATTTGGTTTTGTTAGTCGCTACTTCCCTCTACTCTGAGGTATCCTACACTTATGGTAATCATGTTTACCAAACCAAACATCAAGGCAGCAAGTCCCAACAGATTCTCTTTTTGTGTGTATGCTAGTCCTGAAGTCCTGGAGACAGGGCCTGGGCACTGTCCCCAAGCTTTTTGGCTCAAGCTAGTACTCTACCACTTGAGCTACAGATCCGCTTCTTGCTTTTGTGTGTGTGTGGTGTGTGTGGGGGATAACTAATTGGAGATAAGAGCCTCATGGGCTTTCCTGCCCAGGCTGGCTTTGAACTATGATTTTTTTTTTTTTTTTTTTTTTTTTTGCCAGTCCTGGGCTTGAACTCTGGGCTTGGATGCTGTCCCTAAGCTCTTCAGCTCAAGGAAAGCGCTCTACCACTTGAGCCAAAGCGCCACTTCCAGCTTTTTCTGCTTATGTGGTGTTGAGGAATCAAACCAGGGCCTCATGCATGCAAGGCAAGCACTCTACCACTGAGCCACCTTCCCAGCCCTGAACTATGATTCTTAAATCTCAGCCTCCTGAGTAGCTAAGATCACAGACATGAGCCACTAGTGCCTGGCTTCTTTTTTTCTTTTTAAATGACATGGCTTAGATCACATTATGCATTACCTCAGAACAGAGAAACCAGACTACTTCATGAAATCTTGGGATACCTTTCCCCTTTTCTGGGGCAAAGCTTAGATTAGAGCCCCTTAGGAATGATAATTACTCTCCTCTTTATTCCTGTGCTAGTTCTCTTATTCTTTTCCTTCATACCCACCCATCTTTCATCCTGTAGCCTCTTTCCCATCATCTCCCATTTCTTCTACAGGGGGACTTCCCCAGGGCTGGTAGCCCAAAGCTGCTGCTACAGCCGCCATGGGGGACTGAATTCCACATCCCTCAATAAAGGTAAGTATTCATCCCTCCTTATCCTCAAATCAAGTAAGCCAGACACAGTCCACTCCAATCTCCCCATGCACATGCCTGGTATTTCCACAGGCAACCAGGGATCGAAGCAGGGGGAACGGGAAACAGAGAATAGGTGAGGTCTAAAGCCCTCCTGAAACAACTCCCAACACTTTCTGACTAACATTACTCTCAGCTATTTGCATCTCCTAAATCTTACTGTTTAGACAGCAGCTTCTCCCACAGTCCTAACTAACATGGTCCAAGCCTCTCTCTCCATAGGTGGAAGTCTGGTGCTTCGCTTTGCCCTTCTCAAGGGTTAAGTTGGGACACAGTAGTAATTCTTTGGTTGCATATCCACCATGTGTCTTCTACATTAAGATTTGGTACCTAATCTGAATTTCCACATCAGTGCCTCCATAACTCACTCTTCTCCCCGCCCACTAGGTCTGCCAATCAGAAGCAGGTCTTGTCACAGGATGGGTCTGCGGAGGAACCCACGCACACAGTTCCTCCACAGGCCCAGGCTCCACAGGCCCCACAGGCCCCACAAGCCCAGTCTCCTCCAGCCCCGTCCTGGACAGTGGGTAGGGGCATGTTCAACGCCAGGTTCATTCGACACTTGCAGGAATTTCGCGGCACCAGGCCCTGGTGAGCACAGGCGCCCCACTCCCCACACTTTGAAAGTCAGTGTAATTTTTCCTTCACTAAAGGATACAGACAAGCCGAAATCTTCATTATGGATTTATTCGTTCACTCCTTTCACCACTTTCTTATGCACTTTGAACCATGTGTATCTTATTTTTAACCAGAGCAATAAAGAATTTATTTTTTCAATCATGAGTTGTTAAAAAAGGAGATTGTCATTAATTCCGTCACACCCACTTTTCATTCTCACTTCACCGCGTTCAGCCACAGCTTGCGGAAAAAAGCAGGGCGTATTGCGCAAGCGCCCTAGGACAACCTCCGGTCCGACTAGCGCAAGCGCAGTCAGGGCGGACTGAGCGCTCAGCTGCCTGCCTGGAGTCCGCAGTACGCAAGCGCGCAACATCTCCGTTTCCCTCCTCAGGCCCTTGCCCCCCCTCCCACTTTTCCCCTTCACGAAGCCGGGTCCCGGGCGCGCTCACCCCTGTGAGGAGGCCGGAGGCCGGACTCGGGAGGCGCCCACTCCACTCCCGGAAGATCATGTACCATCCCAGTCGGGGGGCGGCCCGGCGTCTTGGCCCCTGCCTCCGCGCCTACCAGGCTCGACCCCAGGTGAGAGCCGAGCAGCGGGAGCGGAGACGAGGGGGCGGGGAGAGACCCTCCACGGAGCCGGTGCGTGGGGCGGAGCGTGCCGGGTCCCGCGCAGGCGCAGTGGCACCCCGCCGCCCCTTCCCACCTGCTCGGGGAGGCGCGTGGACTGGCCCGGGGTCGTGCGGGCGGAGAAGGCGGCGCTGCCCGGCCCGCGCAGAGGCAGGGCTGGCGGCTCTGCCGAGCTGAAGACGGGCAGGCGGGGTAGGGCAGCGGGGCGTGTCCGCCGGCGCCGCGGCTCCGCGGTTACCTGTGCCTGGAGGTGATTTGAAGGGCAGGGGTGGAGAGGTTAACCGCTGGGCCGCCGCGCCGCTCGCAATGGCCCATCTCGGACCAGGACCGCGGGCCTTGGCGTGCAGCCCGCGCAGCCCGCGCCCCATGCACCTAGAGAGCCCGCCTCGGTGGACCCGGTTGGGACCCCGGTCCCCGGCTGTCAAGATTGCCACGCCCCCGGCCGAGAAAGGGCCTCTAGGACGCGGTGTAGTACCCAGGCACCCGCAGGACCCGCCCCCACGGCTTCCTTGGGAGCCGGGTCCCGATTGACTTTGGTTGACCTCCGGTGCTCGCAGTTTGAACGTTGATAAACCAAAGATAAAGTTCACCTTTAACAGTCCTCTCAACGTTTTATATACAGTCATTATCTCTTATAGCCCTTATAATAACCCAGTGAGTCTTTATTGTTCTCCATTATACGAGGACATTTATAGGAAACAGGCATTGCGAATGAGTGTCGAAGGTTACACAAGAGAACTGGAACTCTACCTTCTATACTTGCCTCACAGTTCATGGACTCCGTGTTGTACACGACATCATTTCATCCACAGTGTAATGAAACAGGCATTCTTAGGATTCTTGCTATCAAGAGAGGTGGAACTGGCCCCAAACGGTTGAGAGTTTAGGTGTAAGGGTGCGCCTTAACACTTGGGGGAGATATTTGTGCTTGTGTTTTATGAAACTTATTTCCTCTTGTTTGCAGTAGAGGTAATTAGTCCATCTTTTTCCCCTTTAGTAATTCCATCTTTTATGTCAAGTTATAGATGGAGCCAGACACTAGAGGCTCAGGACTGTAATCCTAGCCACTCAGAAGGCTGAGATCTGAGAATGACTGTTCAAAGCCAGCTGGGGAAGTAAAGTCTGGGAGACTACTATCTACAGTTTAGCAAAATGCCAAAACTGGAGCTGAGGCTCAAGTGGTTGAGCACTAGCTATGAGCAAAAACAGCTAAGGGACAGTGCTGAGGCCCTCAGTTCAAGCCAGAGTACACACACACACACACACACACACACAGAGTAGTAGGTTTAGAGGGGGAAGAATGATGGAAGGGGTGACACTGGTCAAGATACATATGAGGGGCTGGGAATGTGGCTCAGTGATAGAGTGCTTGCCTAACATGCATGAAGCCCTGGTTTCAATTTCAGTACCTCATAAACTAAAAAAGCTGGAAGTGGCACTGTGGCTCAAGTGGCAGAGCACTATCCTTGAGCAAAAGAAGCTCAGGGACAGTGCCCAGGCCCTGATTCAAGCCCCAGGAATGGAAAAACAACAAAAAAGATACACATGATTGCATACATAAGTGGACATTGAAGCTCCCCCCCCCCCCCATTTTTTGGTGGTGGTGGTGGTTGTGGAGCTTGAACTCTGGGCTTGGGTTCTGCCTTTATGCTCTTTGGCTCAAGGTGAGTGCTCTACCACTTGAGTCACAGCACCACTTCTAGTTTTCTACTGGTTTATTGGAGATAAGAGTCTAACAGGCTTTCATGCCCGGGCTGGCTTTGAACCACAATCCTCAAATCTCAGCCTCCCGAGTAGCTAGGACTACAGGCATGACCTACCGACACCCGGCTTGAAGCCCCTTTTTACAATTATTTATGTCAGTTGTGGGGCTTGAACTCAGGGTCTGGGTGCTGTCTCTGAGCTTTTTTTTTTTTTGGGGGGGGGGGGTCTGGTCATGGGGCCTGAACTCTGGGCCTGGGTGCTGTCCTTCAGCTCTTCAGCTCAAGGCTAGCGCTCTACAACTTGAGTCACAGCACCACTTCCGGCTTTTTTCTTTTTTGCTTATGTGGTGCTGAGGAATCGAACCCAGGGCCTCAAGCATGCAAGGCAAGCACTCTACCACTGAGCCACCTTCCCAGCCCCGTCTCTGAGCTTTTTTCACTCAAGGTTAAGCGCTCTATCACTGAGCCACAGCTCCACTTCCAGTTTTAGCTGGTGGCTAATTGGAGATGAGTCACACAGATTTTCTTGCTGGCTTTAAAACGTGATCCTTAGATATCAGTAGCTAGGATTATAGGCATAAACCACCAATGTCTAGCATTGTACAACTATTTAGACATAATAATACTAACGATACTAGTAATGTACATTAAATTGGAAACCTGTTAAGCATAGCTTGAAGAAAGAAGCTTTAAGCATCTGAATTCTCCTTTCCCTTCTGTTTTCTTAGGATCAGCTTTCTCCACGGACTCTACCATTCCCACCCCTTTGGTCCCACTCTACAACAGTCACTTCTCCATCTTCTCCTCTTTTCTGGTCCCCTCCACCCCCACATCCTCCAACCCGGTCTCCTTCCCAGGTTTTCCCTCTTCCTCTCTCTCAGGTCCTGACCCTCAACTCATCATGGATGGTTCTCCCTCCAGAAAAGGGGGAGGAGGGACCAGGACCTGAACTGCACAATGGATGCCTTGATGGGCTTAGGAGCCTTTTTGAGGGACCTCCTGGGGCTTTGATACCTTTCCAAGCCCCTGGAGCTGCCCACCCTTCCCCTGCCACCCCTTCAGGAGATCCTAGCATGGAGGAGCACCTGGCTGTGATGTATGAGAAACTAAGACAAGAGGTAAGTCTGTTCAAAGGTGAGAAAGAATGTAGGCAATCAATCATTGGAGATGGGCTAGGGAAGTGAATTCTTTCTTAGAACCATGAGGCAGATACAACAGTCCCGTAAATTTAGTCCTGAGGAAAAAGATGCTTTTCCATGTGGACTCAGGGAGGTTAAGCATAGGATCAGATGACACTTCAGAAGAAGTTGAGGCCTAAAAATAGAAAACTAAAAAGCCAAACTTGGTAGCACAGGCCATACCACCACTCCAGTGGCTGAGACTGTAGGATCAGGAGTTCAAAGCCAGACTGAGCTACGTAGTGAGGCCCTATCTCAAAAAAACAACCAAAAAACAATAAGCGTAAAACCTAATAGCATGTTTTCTTTCCCACTGAGTTGACACCATCTTCTTCCACCTAGCTTCCCAACCTCTTCCTTCACTCCCACGACTATTCTCTCTATTCATCAGATGTGGAATTCATCAATGGGATCCTCAACATTCGAACCAAGTGAGAATTGGGGCAGGGGTGAGGGAGGAAAGGGTGAAGTGCTATACACTAGACCCTTTTCCCAGAGAAGGTTCTAGGCTGTTTCTCACAAGTTCTCCCCATTCTTTGGACAGAAGCCAGTGTGGTGTTTTGATCCTGCCATTAACAAAATTTTTCTTACTCCTCTTCACAGAGGCCGGGCATGGTATATTCTGTCTCTAACCCTTTGTCGCTTCCTGGCCTGGAACTACTTTGCACAACTTCGGTTGGAGATTCTACAACTAACCCGCCACCCTGAGAATTGGACACTGCAAGCCCGCTGGCGGCTTGTAGGATTACCCATCCACATGCTCTTCCTGCGTTTCTACAAGCGGGATAAAGAGGAGCTTTATAGGTAAAAGAGTAATCTTACCCTTTTGGGAGTTTGGTCTCAGCAGTGCTTCACCTGGACTGTGTGCAGAGGGATAGTTTGACTCCAATTTAATGTAACAAAAGTAATGACCTTGTGTATTAAAACCTTTTAACTTCTTTCTTCACTTACATATATTGTTCTCATATAATTACCGAACAAACGAAAATTCCTAAGTTGAGCTTCACAGTCTTAAAGTACTTAGTAAATTTCTGGCTGGTAGAAGCCCAAGAAGTTACTAGGCTTAGCCTTTAACATTGTATGTAAGCACCTAAACCTGATGTACAGGCTAGAAATGTGGCCTAGTGGTAGAATGCTTGCTTAGCATGCATGAGGCCCAGGGTTCAATTTCCTGGTACCACATAAAGAAAAAAATAACAAAAAAAAAGCTGCTGTACAGTCAACTGATGATCTTTTAAATCTATAAAATTGGGGCCCTTCTGATTTGTTAGAGGCGTCTGAGTGTTGGGATGTTTAAGTTTCCCAGGTGGTCAGACCTGGCAGTACAGGACTGTAACTCAAACTCAGGAGGTTGAGTTAGGAGGATTACAAGTTCAAGGGTAAGCCTTGCTACATTAGTGGGATCTGCCTCAAAAACCATTCTCCAGGTGATCTATTATGTAGAGAAGTTTTCATTTAAAAAATACTTGAAGCCAGGGCACTGGTGGCTCATGCCTGTAATCCTAGCTGTTTAGGAGGCTAGGATCTGAGGGTCCTAGCCCAGGCAGAAAAGTCCCCAAAAGACTCATCTCCAATTAACCACTCAAAAGTGGTTATGTGGCTCAAGTGGTAGAACGCCGGCCTTGAACACCACGAGGCTCAGGAACAGTGCCCAGGCTCAGAGTTCAAGTGCCAGGAAAAAAAAAAAAGTTGAATTAAAGCTCTGGGCCAGGGCTGGGAAGGTGCCTCAGTGGTAGAGTGCTTGCCTTGCATGCATGAGGCCCTGGGTTCGATTCCTCAGCACCATATATGCAGAAAAAGCTGCAAGTGGCGCTGTGACTCAAGTGGTAGAGCGCTAGCCTTGAGCTGAAGAGCTGAGGGACAGTGCCCAGGCCCAGAGTTTAGGTCCCACAACCGGCAAAAAAAAAAAAAAAAAAAAGCTCTGGGCCAGTAGCTTCTTCCTCAGAAAAGTCTCTCCCGTTGCCAGGACCTACGATGCCTATTCCACCTTCTACCTGAATTCCAGTGGCCTCATTTGCCGTCATCACTTAGACAAAGTGAGTTCTGGGGCTGGGTGGGGGTGATCTGAAGGGTAGACAGCTGTGTGCACTTCCTCATCTTCTATTAACTATTTTCTCTGCAGATGATGCCTTCGCATTCACCTCCATCGCCTGTGAAGAAGCTGCTAGTGGGAGCTCTGGTGACTCTAGGGCTGTCAGAGCCAGAGCCCAACCTAAATGTATGTCCCAAGGCCTGAGCCAGAAGTCAGGTGGGGCAGCACTGAAAACGTCGCTACGCACAAGAGGAGGTGGAGGCAGCCAAAGATCTCCAGACCAGTTGCCTCCCCTCTTTCTCTGTCCTTCCTTTCCATCTCATGCTGTTTAAAGCTGCTGTGTAACTTGACTTGTAAATAATAGTGTAAGTGACTGATATGAGATGGAATTTCATGTCACTTTCTGTGCATCCCACAAGTTCCCACAAACTTTATTCAAAAATAATTTTATTTAATAGATATTAAACAGTGTACAGAAAGAAAAGGTGCTGGTATCAAGTTCTTTCCATTTGTCCTTTTCTCTACCCCAGCTCTTCTCGTGTCTTGCCTATTTTTTTGGGCATTTTCTTTGTATGGGGATCTTCTACCTCCTTGGCCTTATAGTAGTGGGGAGCCACTTCCAAAAGCCAACTGCTCTCAATCTCCAACACCTAGAAGAGAGAAAAAAGATCAGTCAGGGCTCCCTTGTTTTTAATCTAGCATCTCAAGTGTATAGGTCAAAAAATATATATATATTTTGCATTGACTGCAGGGCTGGGGGAAAAAAGTACTGGCTGTATTACATACCTAAAGTACAGATATAGTTCTATATTCAAAATATCAAGTTATCCCTAAGAAGGAGCTATGAAAAGACTAAAGTACACTCTAATGATAGACTCCATCTGTTTTACTTACCACTGTAATCCAAGCACCTTAAACACTTGTGTTTAAACACATTTAAGTGTTATTGAATATAAGTTACAGTTCTCAGATCCTGGAAGACACCAAGCCAGCTGTTAGAAATTATGTCTTTTGGAGTTCCCTAGGGCAGCTGAGCCTGAAAACTCAAGTAGTTGAAGAACTGGTAATAGATGGAAAGTGGGTTTGTATGGCCTCTACACAGGGAATGAAGGAATGGCAGGTATGGAGAGAAATGAGCTTTTTGGTTGGTTGTGAGGCTTCAACTCTGGGCCTGGGTGCTGTCCCTGAGTGTTTTGTGCTCAAAGCTTAGGAACTACCAATTGAACCACGGCTATACTTCTGGGTTTTTTTTTTTTTTTTTTTTTTGAGTGGTTAATTGGCGATAAGTCTCATGGGACTTTTCTATCCAGGCCAGCTTTGAAATACCATCCTCAGATCTCAGTCTCCTAAGTAGCTAGGATTACAGGTGTGAGCCATCAGTGCCCAGCTGAGAAGCCAGCTTCAGGGGGCTACTAAATAAAATTAATGGTCGTGCTTGCTTTTCCAGCACATATACTACAATTGGAATGATACAGAGAAGATTACCATAGCCTCTGTGCAAGGATGACAGGCAAATTCATCAAGTGTTCCATATTTTTGGGAAAAAAAAAAAGAGTTAATGGTCTGGGGGAACGAGGAAGACAAGGAAATGAGGAGGGAAAGAGGGAAAGAGGTACCCCTCAGAGTCTTTAGGGTGTTTCCAATGAACAGTGGGTTCACTCTTCCTTACCATAGGCATCAGACCTCACTTCAGGTGTTGCTATGGTTGAATTAATGGTTTTAATGAATACATCAAATACATGTGTTAGAAGATGCAGAAAAAATTTTCTAAAAATCAAGAAAACTTGGGCTGGAGGCCAGAGGTTCAAACTCCAAGTGAAGAAAACAACTGAATCAGATCTTGTTAGGAGACAGTTATTACTCTCTAGTAAAATATCTCCAGCTAGAAAGGATCAATGAAGTAAATTAATCGTATATAAGCTGGAGGCTGGTAGACTCATACCTGTTATACTAGCTACTCAAAAAGTTAAGATCTGAGCATCAAGTTTGAATTGCGCCCAGCAGAAAAGTCTGTGAACCTTACCTCCAATTAACCACCACCAAAAAAAAAAAGCTTGAAATGTTGTGGCTCAAGTGGTATAACACTAGTCTTGAGCAAAAAAATTCAGTACCTAAGCCCTGAGTTCAAGCCCCAGGAATAATATTAAAAAAAAAAAAAAAAAAAAAGTTCTACACTCAGAAGGCTGAGATCTGCAAATCTCAGTTTGAAGGGGCTGGGAAGGTGGCTCAGTGGTAAGAGTGCATGCCTTGCATGCCAGAGGCCCTGGGTTCGATTCCTCAGCACCACATAAGCAAAGAGAAAAAAGCCGGAAGTGGCGCTGTGGCTCAAGTGGTAGAGCGCTAGCCTTGAGCTGAAGAGCTGAGGGACAGCGCCCAGGCCTAGAGTTCAGGTCCCATGACCGGACCCAAAAAAAAAAAAAAAAAAAAAAAAAAAAAAAAAAAATCTCAGTTTGAAGCCAGCCCAAGCAGACAAGTCAGAGAGACTCTAAATCCAGAAGTGGAGGTGTAGCTCAAGTGGTAGAATGAAAAGCCGGGCACTAGTGGCTCATGCCTGTAATCCTAGATACTCAGGAGGCTGAGATCTGAGAATTGAAATTCAAAGCCAGCCCAGGCAGAAAACTTCCAGTGAGACTCTTATCTCCAATTAACCACTCAAAAAAGGAAAATGGCACTGTGGGTCAAGCTGTAGAGCACTAGCCCTGAGCACAAAGAGATTTAGAGACAGCACCCAGGCTCTTGAGTTCAAGCCCCACAACCAACGATAAAAAAAGCAAGAGACCCTGAGGTTAAGCCCCAATAATAGCGTGCGCGCGCGCACGCACACACACACACAAAGTGAAAAAGAAAAGGAAGTCTTTCCATCTAATCCTACATAAAAATAATGTATTTTTCTGTACTAGTCCCAGAAACAAGAAACTTGGTTCTTAGTTTGTCATCATTCTATCTATGCCACACACATTACCTGGGCAGATAATGATCCCTTACCTGTCTCATAAACTCCTTGGTGGTCAAGACCAGTTCATGGTAGAGCAACCAGCGTGGCTGCTGCTCAAAGAGTGAGGAGTTGGGATGGATGAACACTGTCTGCTGCTGTTTCACTGTGCGGTAACCACTACGTGTCAGCCGTGCTATGTGGTAAAAGTAACCAGCAGTGATAGCCTAGGGAGCAGGCAAAAGAAAGTCATTGGGGTCAGACAGACGGGGGAACCCTTGTTTAGGCTTCAGAAAACTAGAAAGGAAAAGAATGTGTGAAAACCCCACTAGATAAGCTTCAGTGGTCTGGGAAAGAGCAAACTCCAGAGAACACATGGTCCACCAGGGGAAGAGCACTGCTGTGTGGCCTCAGGGGAAGAGCTTGCTCCTCAGGGGTTCTGGGCAGACAGCAGCAGACTGAAGAACATTGACTGACCTTGCGGACCCGGATGTAGTCCCCCTGGCAGGAGCTCAGACCAACTTCCACCCGCTCCAGGAGCCCTTCCAGCTGTTCCCGCACATCCCGGGCTCGGCGCATGGATCTGAACTGTACAAAGTTCTCATAGCACCATTGGGAAGAGTAGCCACTCTCAGCCCACTAGATGAAGACAGTTCAAAAGAAAGGTGGAGGGACTTTCAGGATACAACAGGACCATAGTCTCCCACATTTCCCACTTTCCCACTCACTCAAGCCCTGACCTGTGTATACACGTTCAGCAGAACCAGGTGGTCCCCACCAGGGAGGAAGAAGTTGACTCGGGCATTGTCAGCATGGACAACCTTGTCCTTAGGCCGGTAGAAGATGGAGTTGTTGACAGAGAGCATGGCAGCCACTGTCAGGATCTCCTCTGAACAGCTGTACCTGAACAGGAAGACAGTGAGAGTTCACAGCAAGGCACCTAACTATAGGCATACAATCAGAGGAGACTGATCACTGTGGTGGATGTGTCTCACGTGGGAAGAGCTGGTTGGGACAGTGGTGACAAAAGACAGCAAATCTGTTCTGGTGGTGGCAGTACCTTTGTAGGGATGGCGATGGGGGAGGCATATGTAATCATCCTATTACACAGCATAATGGCCACTGAGGCAGGGGTAGGAAGGGAAGTCTGGGGGTGCTTTGTAGAAAGGTGTGTCTGTGTGCCTTGGGGAGAGTTCTAACAGCCACAGCAGAGGAATGGTTTTCAAGGTGGAGTCACACAGCTACATCTATGTGGTCCAGTCTGAAATCTCAGGAATGAGAAAGCATCAAGAGCAGCCCTGTCTCCCACTCTCATAGAAGGAAATCTCCTACCTCCATTCACAGCCCTGGATTTTCTATGTCTGTCAACCTTATCCACTTAATAGTGATCCAGAGCACAGCATGTTTTTTTTGTTTTGTTTTTTTTGTTGGTCGTGGGGCTTGAACTCTGGGCCTGGGCGCTGTCCCTCAGCTCTTCAGCTCAAGGCGAGCGCTCTACTACTTGAGCTACAGCGCCACTTCCGGTTTTCTGGTGGTTTATTAGAGATAGGAGTCTCACAGTCTTTCCTGCCCGGGCTGGCTTTGAACTGTGATCCTCAGATCTCAGCCTCCTGAGTAGCTAGGATTACAGGCGTGAGCCACCGGCACCCCACAGCATGTTTTTGTTTTGTGTTTTTTTGTTTTGCACTGTGGCTTCCACTTGGCCTTGCTCTCTTGACTGGCATGCTTTCTCCTAGCCCACTACCACTTAAGCCACATCTCCAGTCAAGCTTTTTTGCTGGTTAGTTGGAGAAAAAGTATTGCTGACTTTTCTGTCCAGGGATGGCTTGAAACCACAATCCTCAGCCTTCTGAGAAGTTAGGATTACAGGTGCAAGCCACTGGCATGTATCTATGACAGCATTTTACACAATGGGCCTTGAATGGGACAATAAGAGTTCTTAAACACCTTGTTATTTGCTAAAGGACAATATGATCAAGAAAAGGAGGAAGAGATGGCCCCTGCAGCCACAAGTGGAAGACTTACTTCTCAGAGGCCAAAATCATTTTAGACAGCATGGGGTCTACGGGCAGCTCTGCCATCTTTCGACCAGTCTAAGGAGAACAAAGACAGAGTTGAGTCTTCCCTCAGGTTCCCCTCCACAACAGGGGTCTCTTGCTTCATCCAGTCCCAGCCTGTGCCACCCAGCCATCTCACCGTGGTGAGCTCCCCAAGGTGATTAAGGGCTCCTAGAGCATACAGTTGTTCCAAAGCCAGCAGCAGGGTCTCATATGGTGGCGGGTCCAGGAAGTCAAAGTGCACCAGGTCATGGATCCCTGGAGAAAGATATAAAGGATAGAGACGCCACATATGGACCAGTGACCATTCACCTGCCTCTAGGGAGCACTTGTGCAGCCTACTCACCTAAGCTCTTGAGCAGTAACACAACATTGCCCAGGCTGGTCCTCTGGATCTCAGGCACTGTGGTCTCTTCCAGCTCATGCTGATAGGCCCAGGCTGTGTACAGACGGAAGCACTTCCCTGCAGCCACTCGACCCGCTCGCCCAGCCCGCTGATTGGCTGAAGCCTGGAAAGGCAAGCTGGCTGATGATAGGGTCAGGGAACACAGAGGACAAGGCAATATTTATGCAAAAAATCTGGGAGGATGCAAACTGCTCTTCTCCTGTCTAAGTGGGGCCACCCTATAGCTGAATTGTGCTGTTCCTAGAGGCTATTTCTGCCTTTCCCTACCCCATGGTGACCCAGGCTGACCTTGCTGCAGGGTGTGACAGTGAGCGACTCCATGCCTGTGCGGGGATTGTAGCTCTTCTGCTTACAGAACCCTGGATCAAGTACATAAATGATGCCCTCGATGGTGAGTGATGTCTCTGCAATGTTTGTTGCCACAACTACCTGGGGAAAAGCACATGAGACAAATTCAGAACCCGCCCCCCCCAACCTCCATACTCAGGAAGAGTAATCGTGGAAAGCTAGGAATGGACAATCAAGTGGCGGGAGGGGGGGGGGAGGGGGAGAGGGGAGACGGGATGGAGGCTGGGGAAAGGGAGTAAGAGGAATTCACATTTAAGGCTAGGAGATGACAAGACCAGCAAACAGGTAAAAGAAACAGGGGTGATAGTCAGCAGGGACATGATGCAGAAAGAAAACGGAGAGGCAGAGGGTACTTAGGGCTTTTCTTTCAGAGATGGGAGATGGGGGTGTGCAAGTTCTTGCCCCCATCTTCCTTACCTCCATTTCCATATTCATCTTCACACACCTCTTCCTGTAACAGTCTCCCTAGAGCCATCTCCTGGCTTCTATTCCGAGAGTATCACCCAGCATCCAGAATGGTCCCTTTTTCCCTCCCAGTGATGACACTGGGATTTGAACTCAGAACCTTATACTTGCTTGACCAGCACTCTACCACTTGAGCCACACCTCTAACCCTGCTTTTGCTGACTATGGAGAAGGGGTCTAGTGGACTTTTCCGCATGTGCTGGCTTTGGATCTTAGCCCCCTGAGTAGCTAAGATTAGAGGTATGAATTACCAGTGCCTGGCCAGAATAGTCATTTTTAGCATAGAAACATCGCATCATTCCCAGCTCCCTCACTACAGAGCATGATCCA